CCCCCCCCCCTCCCCGGGGGGGTCCCGCGCGGGGCGGCGGCGCCACCTGCTGGTGGAGGCGAGGACTGCAGGGGGCGAGGCCACGCCCCGTCCGCTTCGGCCACGCCCCCTGTCGCCAAGGCCACGCCTCCTTCTTAACAAGCCGCGCCTCTCCCGCTCGAGCCACGCCCCCGCCCGGCTCGTCTCTCCCAGGCCACGCCCCCTTCGGGCCCGACCACGCCTTCTTTCGGTCAGGCCACGCCCCCTTACATCCAAGCCACGCCCTCACCGCTGCCATTTCCGGTTCCGGCGGCGCCGGCGCGGCCGCCCCGGGAGGAGAGCCCGGGAACGGGGCGGGGGTCGGAGAGAAAAGGTCAGCGGGGAGGGGGCAGCGGGGCTAAAGGTACCCGGGGTCGGGGGGCAGCGAAAGGGACGGGAGTGAGCGGTCAGAGGGGTCCCGGGGGTGACTGAGAGCGGCGGGAGTGGGATGAGGGGTCACGGGGCTTCTGGGGCGCTGGGCTGGGGGTCGGGGGGCAGCAGGAGAGGGAGGTGGAGGGTGGGGCAGGAGGAGCAGCAGGACGCAGGAAGAGGGTCAGAGAATGGGTGGGGGCTGAGATGGGGGGTCAGGGCAGCAGGAGAGGGTCGAGGGGTACCTGGGGGTCAGGGGGCAGCAGCAGGAGGGGAGGGTCAAGGGGGTCCTGGGGGTCCGGGCTGGGGGGAGGAGTGGCGTGAGGGGTCAGGGGGTGTTTGGGGGTCAGGGCTGGGCGGTCAGAGGGTCCCTGGAGGTCAAGGTTGGGAGGTCAAAGTTGCAGGAGGAGGAGTGGGCTGAGGAACCGGGGAGGGGCCGGACGGGGGGTCCCAGAGCAGCAGCAAACAGGGTTGGGGGGGCTGAGGGCGGGTGCGGCAGTGCTGGGGGGGGGGGCCAAGCCCCCCGGGGGGGGGGGGCGGCGGTACCTGCCCCCCCCCTGCCCCCCCCGTACCCCTCCCCACAGCCCGCACCGACCCCACCGCGATGCTGCGAGCCCTGCGACCCTCCCACCCCCTGTGCCACCCTTTGTGCCACCGGCCCCTGAGCACCGCCAGCGTCCCCCCTGATCGCCCCGAGCCCCCCCCGGCTGCCGCTGTGGCAGCGTGCGGCGGTGGCGGGGGCGGTGGCGGGGCTGGCCGGGGCAGGGTGGCTGTACCTGCGGCGGGAGAAGGAGCGGCGGCAGCGCCAGCGGCGGCTCCGGGACCTGCGGGCGCTGGCGCTGGGTCAGGCCGACTTCCAGCTGCACGACACCTCCGGGACCCCCCGCTCCCGCGCCGACCTGCTGGGCCGCTGGGTCCTGCTGTACTTCGGCTTCACGCACTGCCCGGACGTGTGCCCCGAGGAGCTGGAGAAGCTGTGCCGGGCCGTGGAGCTGCTGGAGGCGGTGCCGGGGCTGCCGCCGGTGCAGCCGCTGTTCATCACGGTGGACCCGGCGCGGGACGACGCGGCGGCGCTGGGGCGGTACCTGCGCGACTTCCACCCGCGGCTGCAGGGCCTCACCGGCACCCAGGAGCAGGTCCGGGCGGCCGCCGGGGCTTTCCGGGTGTACGTGAGCGCCGGGCCCCCCGACCCCGACGGGGACTACGTGGTGGACCACTCGGTGCTCACCTTCCTGCTGGACCCCGACGGGCTGGTCCGGGACTGCTACGGGCGCTCCCGCACGGCCGAGGAGCTGGCCAAGAGCGTCAGGGGGCACATGGAGACCTACGAGCCGCTGCCCACCCCCGGGTGACCGGGAATAAAGGGCGGGGGGAACCCCCCCGAAATGGGCCTGGTGTCGTTTCGGGGGGAGAGGGAGGGTGGTGACGCACCAGGGGTGTCGTGGGGAGGGAACTCAGACAGAGACCAGTGACCCCCAGGGGTGTCATTTGGGAACCAAGGGACCCCCACCACAGCCCAAGTGTGTCCCATAGGGGCGGGAGGGACCCCCTGACAGAGCCCTGTGACCCCCAGGGGTGTCACAGGGGGAGGGAGGGACCCCTGTGGCCCCCACCCAGATGTGTCTGCTGGGGAGAGGGACTCCTGACAGAGCCCAGTGGCCCCAAGGGTGTCACCTGGGGAGGGAGGGACCTGTAACAGACCCCACTGTGGCCCCCCAGGTGTGTCATGTGGGGACAGAGACTTTAGGTGGGCAGGTGGAGGGACCCCTGACAGATCCCAGTGTGTCCCAGGTGTGTTCCAGCACCAGGAAAGGACCCTTGAGAGACCT